GAGCATTATCCCGAACCAAGCGCGACCATATTCATCGATACAGTTTAGATGGCGATTTGCTTCGGTATAGCATCGACCAATTCGATTCTCCTCGCACGGTGATTGCCAATGACATGGATTTGCGTGCAAGAATCATTCACGAGTATCACGATGCTCCTGCTATTGGCCATTTAGGCCGCGAAAAGACTTTCGCGGCTGTGTCTTGAGACTTCTTCTGGCCCCACATGTATAAGTGGGTACGCAACTGGATCCGAACGTGCGAAATATGCCAGCGTATGAAGCCATCTCCATCGTCACAGGCTCCCTTGCGATCGTTGCCAATTGCAGCAGAGGCCTGGAGATCAGTTTCGATGGAATTTATCTTCGGGCTTGCGCCCGATAGCCAAGCTCGAACGGGCATCTTGGTCTTTGTTGACAGATTCAGCAAGATGACACATCTCGTGCCTGTTCACGCTAAGGTCACCGCGGTAGAGACCGCGGCGCACTTCATCGACGCGGTGTTCCGTCATCATGGCCTTCCAGATAACATTATTTCGGACCGTGACCCGCGATTTACGTCCGCATTTTGGACGTCACTTTTCGAACTCCTCGGGACAAAACTGCTAATGTCGACTGCGGCCCATCCGGAAACGGATGGGCAGACCGAGCGCGTGAACCGGGTCCTCGAAGACGTTCTTCGAAGTTATGCTACGTCATTTACAAGTTGGAGTGCATTTTTACCACTCGCTGAGTTCGCACTCAACAACGCCGTACACGCGTCAACAGGGTTGACGCCATTTTTTGTAAATTCGGCTCGTCACCCTCGTGTTCCTACTGTCCTGGCCGTGGGGCGACCCACAACACCTAGTGGCTCCACTCTGGGGGGGATAAAGGTGATAAACAAGGATCGAGTGCAGCTCACGGTATTTTGAGCGCGCAAAGACGGCCATTTTGACGCCATCAGACGTGGCGTCCCCATTAGCTCGATGGACTGCGCAGACATTGATTGACCCGTCTTCGGGTCAGCGTTCCCCTACTATCAACTACGCGCCGATTGAGTCGGCGCGACCAATTGATGACATGGCCGTGTCGGAATTCATACTTCAACGTCAAGCCATCACCCGCTTTGTACGCGACGCACTACAAACTGCTGTAGACCAACAGAAGGAGAACGCTGACAAACATGGAAGAAAGAACATGAGCAAGTTTGAGAAAGGTGACCGTGTATTATTATCTACGGAAGGTTTAAGGGATTCAGCGGTCACTAATCTGGGCGCGAGTAAACTCGCACCACGCTTCATCGGTCCATTCAAGGTTCTGAAGGCAATCGGCGACGCTTATACACTCGACGTACCCTCATCACTGCGACTCCACCCGACATTCTATGTCGGGCGGCTGAAGGAATATCGTCCGGCTACGCTTCACGGTTTGGCTCCGACGCCGGCTTCAGGGGTTCGTAAGTCGAACGGCCTTCACTTCGTGCTCGACGCGCCGATGACATGGGGCGGGGTCTCGATCCCGTCTCGACCTGACCAAGCACCTGGCGCTCCAGAACCCTTATCCCTTGGAGCTGTTCACGGCTCGACTGTCTGTTCTCACTCGAAGTCTTCTCCTCCCGGGCAGCACGTTCACTGGCAGCCTCAGCCTCCAGCTGAGCATTGGCAGCTATGTTCACGGCCTGATCAACATCGTCCTGAGCAACCAGGACCATCGCGAGGGCCCTCCTCCGCTTGTTGACGCGGAGGGACAGGTGCGCTGGATTGTAGACCGCATTGTGGGTCACGAGGACCCTCACCAACCTGTACTGCAGTCGGCTCATGAGAAGCGTGCGGTTCCATCCGCGCATAGGTACCGAGTACGTTGGCTTGGATTCCCTCCCGAGCAGGATACATGGGAACCACGTTCCTCGCTCCTTCGTGACGTTCCAGATGTGGTTCTGTCGTATGAAGCCACGAAGTCGGACTAATCCAAGGCGGGCGAGCACGCGAACGCTCTCGTGACAAACGAGAGCGATAAGGAGATCCACGTCGTCGGGAACGAGAACGATGACGCGAACGAGAACGATTTCGCGAACGCAAACGATGTCGCGAACGAGATCGATGCCGTGAACGAGAACGATGCCGTGATCGAGAATGTCGCGGTGAATACATATCACGATTGCGAGGCGAGAATCGCGCAGCAGGACGGGCAGGCGAACGTGTCGCTGCCCTGCGCTGATGATTCCGCGGAGATTGACTCCGCTGTCGCGAGTGGTGCCGCCAGCGGGGCGCACCACGAATAACTGCGCTTCTCCGTTCACTCAGACTTCGCTCATACTTTGCAATCCAACTTCGTTCGCGATCACTGAGTGGACACTCAGCGATGTGTCCTCGCCATTCGTCATGAGTTGGGCGTGGAGTCGAGTCACAAGATTGGCATCCTTCATTGACATGGACGAATCAGAGGCGGTCCTCATTCCAAGCATCCTCACACACTCTTTCGCGTAGCGCGCCGATGGAGTGATCGGCGCGAAGTTCCTCTCGATTGTCGAGCCATAATTGGAAGCTGCTACCATCCTCGAGCATCCGACTTTAACGTTGGATGAAGGCACACCAAGAACGTTGTAGAGCTTCATGCTCGATTCCATCAAGACCTTTCCCGCGCAGTTTACGAAATCGGCGGAAGTAGTCCCGCATCGTGTCCAGCGAGTCCGGAGCGTGAGCTCCGGACAAGTCGTACAGTGACCAAGGTATGAGTTGCCGCGCCATGATGTTGGTTGATGCACTCCCGCTGACGTTCCTTGAGAGTGCTGCTGGATTGGGTTCTGGGTCTCCGGACATTGCTTGTTCGTTTGTGAGCGAAGGGTTTTCGACAGTTGAGCACTCACGATTGGTGAGTGCTGTCATGAGAAGGGGGTGATGTAATGGGCTACATTACATAGTATTAATATGAATAAACAATTGCATATGTAGGCAGGTGCTGGGCCCGAATAGCGGGCACAGCGTGACAATTTTTATTATTGGTTTATTATTGGGGCCTAAAGTCCCAATATGGACCAATGATAAATCAACCTGAAATTGTGTGGTTCCCGAAAGGCGGGAGCACTGTCGTATTTATTACGACTAAAATCTTCGTAATTAGTACGAATTAAAACCAAAATAAGAATCAGAGTTAAATTTACTTAGTACCTAATACTTGGGCTTGAGTCTTCCTCAAGCGCGCGTGTAAGCTAGTGACGGTACGTTCTAGCCCCATTACACCGTGTCTTCTTCGTCCTCGGTTTCCCCCGCGAACAGAAGGATGGGAACGCCCTTCATGGGAGGAACTGGCGCACCGCGCACTTGCCTGTTAAGGCGTGCCAAGTATTGGCTTCGCGTAGTAATATGAGGTTCCAGATATCGTTGTCGAAGGGCCGTTCGCGTTGCAACACCCTCGGGTGAAATGGCCTCAGGCCCAATGGCCCAGCCAGAAAGGGAATGCCCAGATGCTTCCTTTAGGCGTTCTTCCACCGTAGGTGGTTTGAACCTGTACTGTCGGTGGTCTTGAAGCCTCGCCATATTCTTCGTCCGGCGCTTGGCACCTTCCTCTTGGTCGATGGTCTGCTGTTGTTGCTCGTCAAGTGGGTTGGTAACCGTCGCCGTAGATGATACGTCAGGCGGGTCACGTAACGCTGTTAGCGCATCTGCAGCACCACGCTCAGGAACGGATTCGGTGCATGACGAGTGTCATCTTCACCCGTGAGGGTGACTAAAGGGGACCCATCGGGTCCCACAAAGACGGTGTCACTTTCGTAATCAACCGCTTCGTCAAGGTCGCCTTCGATAAGGTCCCGAAGAGTCTGTGACTCACTGCCAGGAGGCGTCATGTTAGGTGCCGTGAACAATCCGTGAGGTTTTAAACGTTCGCTAAAGCACTACCTTTAAGAGGAAAAATGTCGAGTGACATCATATGGGAACGTCAGTCTGGTGGGGGAGGGTGTAACGGGGTTACACGATGGTTGTAGCGCCTTTCCGAGAGTTTACGGTTGAACTCCCCTTTGTATTGCATATAATGCATTATTATACTTCTCTTTAAAGAGGTATTAAGTATGAGCGTTAAAGATACGGTATTACCGTAATACCGTATCTTATCGATTAGGATTCGATAAATCGATAACGCTGTACTAAGTACATCATACACAGATGTTTAGACGATACGTCGTTCAATAGCAAAGTCTGCATATAATAATTACTATTATAGTAGTTAATCTAGTGTAGTGTACTTAGAGTAGGACTATTCATAAAATCTTAAAGCATAAATAAAATCAGTTCTCCTTTTGAGTTTAAGATAGCAAGTCGTTCTGACTTGTTCTCTTGTGCACTTCGTGCGTTGGTTCTCTGAACCTCTAAGCTTCTAGCTTGTTCTTGCACTCTTTGCGTTGGTTTTCTGAACCTTAAGCTTATTGCTTGCAGACTAAAGGTCTCTTTCCTCGTTCCTTAGTACAGGGTGACTTTTAAGTCGTTTAATTAGTTCCTTAGAACTAAGTGGCTTTTGCCTTAACTCTATTTAGTTCTCTCGAACTAAGAGGCTTCCAGCCTAAAGTCTTCCTCTGGCTAAAGAGCTGTGCAGCTCCGCTACAAGAATAGGTTTAATGTGGCCCATGGTGCGTGAAGTGTCTACTCAGATAGCAATTAATGACCAAGCCAACAAAACAGAAGCTACATGCTGTAACGGGCCAATATCCATTAGATATATGATACTTAACGGGGAGGTGCAGCAGAGGAGGTGCTGAAGTTTTTTTAGAACTCTAAATTATGAGTTCTCTATATTAAAAGTTTTAAAAAACCTACAGGACCTCTGCTGCTGAGTACAAAAACACCTTAAAAATTGCGTATATCAATAACCGCTTCTAATAGCTTAATTACTTCTCAGAAAAACTCAGAAACCATATATAATTCATTATATAAGAGCTTAAGTATCAAATTGATACCCTATTTTAGAATTCGGTGCTCTATTTACGTCCATTATCCAAACCAAGTGACCCAATCTTCACACTTTCCAAGATGGCACTCGATGATCATCACTCTCTCTCTGTCCGCACCAAGCGTAAATCTTCACCTGCTGCTTCGTCCAACGTCTCAAGCTCTAAACGTCGACGTCGCCAAGCTCCATCTCCTGCTCCAGTGTCTTCTACTGTCTCTAAACCTCGTCCCAGTCGTCGTGCCACACCTATTGATCCATCGAAACCTTCACTTTCCATTGCTTCCACACGTTCAAATGTGACAGATTTTCAGTTGAAGTTGAAGAAAAAGAAGAAGAAGGCGGTTGAACCGATGACGCTTTTTAGTCGATACGCAGATCCATCGGTACAAAGTCCAGCATTTCGTCCTCTGGACTCGAAGGACAATGCGACAAGAGCCACTTTATTAGAAGAGCTTCCACGTCCACGCTGTCATCAAGAGGATACAGAGACAAATACTGTGTTACTACTAGCTAGCAATGGAGACATAGATAAAGTCGTGGACTTGACAGTTGTAGAGCATGTTTCAAGTCTCGCGATGGTCGAGGGAGATGATATTTTACAGACACTTATGAGAACAAGCACACCACGAGTTAAACGGAGATTTCCATCGGAAGAAGCACTGACGGATAGTGAGCAGAGAGACAGAGACGTGTTACGTCGACGACGTCTGAAGCTACGGAATCAATTTTCAGTGATGAAAAAAGAGGAGCCACATGCTACTGGATGCGTTGGGGGTCCAGAAGTTGAGGGATGTCTTTTCAAGGAGAATCTTGCACAGACAGGAAGAGTGCAGTTTGAAGGAGGAACAGTCGAGAGAGCTGAAGACAAGGCACGTACACACTTGATTGAGGATGAAGTTGAGACTGACGAGGAAACAACAGAGAGCAAGATCAAGCGTCTGAGTAAAGTCATGCATATGAACTGGCGACAATATCTTTTCTGGCTTGTATCAGGTGCAATGCTACTCTGTGCGATGGTTGTTGCTGCACCATTTGTGAAGAAACTGATGGAGCCACCACTGCCATATTGTGATAGCGAATGGATCGATGTTGGTGATGGGTCCTACGTCTTGGCCGATCCAGTAGATACTTTTGATCGGTCGAAGGCACTTCAGCCATTTATAAGCACTGCTTCAGTAGCTACGCGTGCCTCACAACCCGTGTGTCAACCATGCCCCGTGTATGGTAACTGTCTCAATGGTTCTGTAATTTCCTGTAATCCACCGTATGAGCTGCAGTATGGATTGTGCAAGGAAAACCCGAAATTGCAGGCGAATCTCGACCAGCTCGCGCTTAGCATACAGAAATTTATCATCGAAAAGGCTGCGAAAAATGCGTGTGACAATGTGTCATTGTGGAGCTACTTCAACTCAGATAGTGGAGTGGAGCCGACGGGCGACGTTACGGCATCGATCGCAGTGAGGCTTTCGGATGTGCAGATCTTCGCGAAAGAAAGGGTTTTGTTTGGAAAGACTGTGTCCAATTTGTCCCGCGAGTACGTGTTTAATCGTGCTCTAGACATGGCACTGCGTGCCCTCGTAGACATTTATGTGACCGAGGACCAGAGTCAGCTCGTCGTGGGTAGAAGTGTTGTGCCATGGTCATGCCGCGCCAAACATCAACTGTACGCTCACATTAAGCTAATTGCGTTGGCTGTCGCATTCGGGACAGTGCTGGTATGTGCCTACAGACAGTTTCTTTTATACCGCACGGAACGCCAACTAGTGGATCGGTTTGTGAAGGAGGTGCGCTTTTTTCTCTTGGACCGGACGCGCCAACCGGATCGGTTTTACCCGGCCAACCATCTCCGCGACAACTTGTTCGAGAAACAATCTCTCCCAGACCGAAAATGGCTGTGCAAGTCTGTTTGGCCGAGAGTTGCTGCTGTTGTGAAGGATGACTCTCGAATAAGAATGCGAGTGATGAGGTACGTCTGGATGATACAAGGGTCAGCTAGAAATTGTTGTGAGTTGACGGCCTGCTGTTGTGCTTTTGGTCGGGGAATGCAGAGTACAAGGTGAAGATATGGTCGTGTGGGAATGGGCATCTTCATCGGCACCACCTTACCGGCGGGCTGGAAGTAATCGTGGTCGAGGTTTGCGCACCGTAGCTACTTTGCAGCAAGAAAGTGCTGGTGATGCTCGACCGGTGCCATCTCGACGGCGTAAGAAGGACAGTCGCATGAGTCTTCCCTGATATCGATTGCTTTCAGATAGGCTCCACTATTAGACTGACAATTCTTTTTTGCTTTTCATTCGCAAGTTTCGATCGCAAGCTACAATGTATTCATTGCAGGGCATTTACAAGTCTATCGAGGATGGATAATGTATATCACAGCTCCTTGATGCTTTTTTCGCAGCTAATTTGGCGCCGCTTGATGACAGCACCCGCCAGTTCCGTCAGAACTTTGACGGTGTCTTCCCAGTTGATGCATGCGTCCGTAATGCTCATGCCATATACAAGCTTCGCCGGGTCGTCGCCGATTGACTGATTACCCTCGACAATATTTGACTCGATCATGATACCCAGCAGGTTTGTGTTTCCCTCAGCGACAATATCTGCCAAGTAGCTGGACACGTTAGCCTGCTCAGCATGTTGTTTGCGCGAGTTGCCATGGGAGCAGTCCACCATGATCTTGTACGGCTGTTTGGCTTTGACCAGCCTTCCCACCGCTTCCTCAATGAAATTGTCTTTGAAGTTTGGTCCACTCGATCCACCGCGGAGAATAACGTGGCAGTCTTTGTTGCCCCTGGTACGTACAATGGACGCGATGCCATGTTCATCCAGGCCCAGAAAAGTGTGTGGCTGCGACGATGACACAGTTGCATCCACTGCAACCTGCAAGTCACCTCCCGTGCCGTTTTTAAAACCCATTGGCATGGACAATCCACTCGTCAGCTCCCGATGTAGCTGTGACTCTGTGGTGCGAGCTCCAATAGCTCCCCATGATACCAAATCGGCCGTAAATTGCGGCGAGATAGTATCCAGGAACTCAAGACCTACAGGAAGACCTAAAGCATTGACATCGAGCAAGAGTTTACGGGCAATGCGTAAGCCCTTATTGATCTGGAACGACGCGTCCAAGTCTGGGTCATTAATGAGTCCCTTCCAACCAACAGTGGTCCGTGGTTTTTCAAAATACGTGCGCATGATGATGACCAGTTCACCCTTGAGCTCATCCGCCAGAGTTTTGAGACGTTCGGCATAGTCCAGAGCTGCAGCAGTGTCATGAATGGAGCAAGGACCGACGACAGCCACGAGACGGTCGTCTTGGTCGTGCAGAATACGAGACACAGCAACACGCGTGTCATTTACGAGGTCGTACACTTGGGGTGACACGGGCAGCTCTTCGAGGACACAAGCAGGAGGCATTAATGGTTTAATTGCAAGCACATTACGGTCTTTCAGACACTGACGTTTAGCAGCGCGACCGATTTCAAAAGCAAAGCAAGATGGCATTGAAATGGACACTTGTGGGGTAGATGGTAAATGTGGGAATGAAAATGAGACAGTGAGTTTCTTATTGTACCCCTTGGGATATTGGATACTATTAAAATGCGTTTTTTTGCACTTCTGAACTTTCAGCAGTCGACGGTAACCAGCAGACGTTTAAACTCCCGTTGATTGGCTGCTAATCAAGAATGTGGTACGAAGGTTGCACTTTGACAAGTGCGTGCCTTGTACAACGTTACACGGCGACTTTTCGAGCATGACGGACGCGACGGTTCCGCGAATCAGTGGCATGATATGGATGCGTCTTGTCGGTATATTACGTGTTTGGCACAGTCGGTACGTCCGCCCCGTCGGATCCGTCGCTGGGTAATTTTTTTACAAAAATAACATCGTTTCTTTTTTGTTCGGTTATTTCTAAATGTAAAGAGCAGCTGTTGTGACTGCTGACGGTATTTTACGATACCAGAAAAAAACGGATGCGTAAGTTATTTTTTTCTTACCGCTTCTGTCTTTTAAAAATTCTATTTTTATGAATTTTGAATGCGTATTTAAAAAATAGTGACAGCAAGAAGACCAAAAAAATCGATTTGGTCAAGGTCAGACCTACTCACAAGGCCATATCTGATGAAATGTCTTATTATACATACTATTGACATTTTTTATGTAATTAATTTTATAGGCAACTTTCCCTACTACTACTATTGCAAAAGCTAATGGTTACTACTATTTTGAGCTACAATACGAATCTACACAAGTGGCCATTGGATTTCCTGTATTACAAGAAGCTCAATTATGGTTGAGTCAAATGATGGAAGCTGTTGGTATGTAGTTCATGCAATTAGTTTGGTTTTTTTTATAAGAAAAAACTTGCTAAAAATTAATTGTTTTTAGATGAAAATAGTGCTGGTCGACGAGCATGGATTGCAAACTTACGTAAAATGTTGACGCTTCAATTACGTGATCGACGTGAACTCGTGCCAGTCATGGCGGATCGAGATTGGTTCAGTGAGTGGAATTACTGTCTACGGTAAAAAAAAATTCTGAAGTAACAATGTGATCAATGCTGATGGTGTTTTTTGACGCTTTTTTTTACTAATTGAAATATTGTTGGTGATAGGTCATTGAAAAATGAGAAAGAACCGGTTGCTATACGTCAGAGACGACTAAGACGGCTGTATACGGTAAGGTTGAAATTCTTTTTTTATTGTTTGTGTCATCTCTTTTTATATTGTTGCTGTAATTTTTTGATTTGGCTATTGTTCACCATTTGGCATAACGTGAAGATTTGGCTACAATTCGAGTTGTTTACCGAGCTTCTGGCCGAGATCTTCTTTTGGTCAGTTCGGCAGCGAGATGCACGAGGTCTTGCTCGGATTGAATCATTTGAATGCGCTGCAAGTGACTTTGCTGTGAATGGTGGTAATGAGCTAAACCCAATTGAGTTGTCTCATGTGGTTGAGCCCAAGGAAACAGCACACTCCAGATTACTGGCGTCTACGCTATCACTTCCTACCACCGGACCAACTTTTTCAGGCAACGAACGTGACCTTGGAGTGGAGACTTTGTATGCGGTGCATGACGATGTGGACAAAATGAAGCTCGCTGGTATTCGCTTGGAGTTTGCGTCAAAGAGTTGGCAAGGACATAAGCGGTTGGCCAAAGAAACAGCTCTACTTGCAAAGTTTCGTTCACTCATTGAGCTTTTTCTTTCGGAAAGCACGACGGAAAGTGGCAAATTGCCACCGTCATTGCAAGCAGTATTTTCGAAGCTCCCAACTTTCCCCCTTGTCTCTGCGTTTTCGATACGAGGTGTGAGCGTGGTGGCAATCGCTGAACCACTGAACAGTAAACGATCGATACTCACAACGATCGACAATCGTGACCTTGCCGGATTGAGTATGGCTCTGCGCGAAGCCAAAATGCTCCGGTACTTCCCATACAAGGAGCTGCCCGAACTTATTGCTCGGAAACTTTCTAATAATGCCGAGTCCACGTTGGTAAGGATACATTCACGCTATGATGATGTGCTGGTGAATTCGTTACGATCACCGATGGCATATGGAGTGCTGATTCGTGCGGTACATGGCGCAAGTAAAAATATAAGCCGAGTTGAAATGCTGTCTGCTCATGACGTGAAAGATCTCGTGCATACGTTAGAGCCACGATGGGTTCCGTACCTGGATCTGGTTTATTATCAATTAGTCAATGAAACATCTCTCGTCGAGAATTTAGCTGCCAGCGAATTTCTTCTGATGGCCTCGACATTCAATTAGCCAACCACTCACTGGCGACATTGTTATCACGATGAATGCGAAAAAAAGCAAGCTGCTGCTGAACTTACCCGAGGCATTTGTGATGAAGCACGACGTGGAGATTCGCCCACTCGTCAAAAAACTGCGAGATGTTAAGAAAAACAATGCGATTTATGCCGTAGCAGCGTCAAGCCTATCTATCGCTCGAAGTCAAAATAAACGATTCCGGTCAGTCGATACGGGCATAGAGGTGGCATGGGAATATGAAGACGGAGTCAAGAAAATGTTCATACACCACATTAAAGAGTTTGCCGTACAACTCACCACACTTGGGGACGCTCCACAGGTAAAGGTTAATACATTTGGAGTGACTGTGCGACCGAGGGCACCGAACTTGAATCAGTCGCGATGGACTTCATCTCGTAGTCGCTTGACTCGGTCCAATACGTTTACATCAATGCCTCGACCTAAAGATATTTTTTCGTCATCGACTGTTTCTGATTCCCAACGCACAAAGTGTGAGCCACTCACTCAGCCACGGCTGCAGCGGTTCATGTCGACGCAAAGTTCTATGGCTCGAACGTTGAGAATTGGTGGATTGGCTGACAGTAATTCTGGAACGTACGTCATCGACACGCTCCATCTCCGCCAGGCAATGCGAGAATGCGGGGTAAACGTATGCTTCTTGCCGCTCGTATTTCTCTACTTGAACAAGCGTGACCAGCTAGGTGTCCAAGCTCTCGTTGCCAGTGAAATTGTAGCCAGGCTAGCGAAGAACCTTTTCCGATACCGCATGCTCAACGAAGACACCGGAAAGACAAGTCGTTGGAAATCCAGAAAGTCGCGCTTGATCAAGTTTATTGATTCTATCATGCACGGGTTATTCCACAAAAATCTTCCCGATGGTCGATGCACCATTAAAGAGTGCTATGGGGACCAGTTCTGGAACATTGATGGGCCGATCTTGTATTTGTTGGGTGTGTTTTCATCAAGTTTTGCAATGGATGCAAAAGTATTAGTGGACTCTCCAAATTCTTGCCTGGAGACATATCGCGATCTCCTCAAGGTGAACCCAGCAATTCTTTTCAGCAGCTTGATGCATGTTTTTCAGGCTCGATTGACCAAGTCGATCCTGCCCGAGCTGCACGAAGATCGGTTCGTGTCGATGCCATTCCTGCGAACTGAAGACGACCTAACGTTCAATTACGAAGAAGACGACCCAAAGCTTGCCTTGCGGATCCATCAAGATCTGCTTCGGAGTCACTTGCAACTTTTTTCGTGTCCAATTTGAGGCATTGGCGCCTGAGTTGCCCATCTCAAATAAAGAGGACCAGACAAGCAAGATTAAGCTTGGTGTCCGGACAGCACAAACAACGTGGGCTCAATACTATCGGACGTTGTCGCAAATTTTTCGTCAGATTCTACTTCACCCACAGCTCACGCGTTTGGAAAAAGCCATTCAGTCCTGGCAAGACCTGACTGCAGTACGAGAACATCTGAGGTTAGCACTACGCACTGCTGCAGTTTCTTTATACCATCCGTCCGACAGTAGTGAGACGTCCGCTATTATTCGAGAGCATTGTAGGTTCGCTTACCTTCGAATGGCTTCCAGCAAAGCGCTTTTCCCGATTGAGTACAAATTAGCCCTGCGCTGTCTTGAGTTAGTTAGCACTGGAGAGGAATTGGCAAAGGCCATGGAAGAGAACGATGAACTTCTGGAGTGGATGAGATTTTTTTATCGGCCAGCCAACCCGTCACAATTTGCCAAGGGGTCGTCATCTCATCCCGTGTATTCGATTCAGTACTCGACAAATGGCACAAAGCTGGAAGGCAAGATACAAGACCACTCGATGTTTTCTCTACGAGAACAGTTTCAGCGGCAGCAATTGCAACAATCCTGGATGTCGGTCATGCCGAATGTCGACGCCTACTGTCGGCGAATAGAGGTGATGCGGCGTGATCCAGTTGATGTTGCGGCGGCGCGAGCGATGTTGTGCGAAATGGGACTTGCATCTCCCGCACCTTTAGAGTCAATGAGCCCTTCTGGTCAATATGACGGCGTAGATAATTTTATTGTCATGGGTTTGCATCCAGATGCTACACGGGCCGAGAAGTATCAAGCTTCGTTCAGCTCCAACCCCGAAAATTCGAAGATGCCATCGTCGACTTACTCGTCGAGAAGAGATACACTCTATTTTATCGAGTGCTTCTTCTTGCCTCCTCTTGCCAATAACTCGTTATTAGTAGCTGGAGATGCACTTGTGAACAATGAGGAGATCTCGAGTCGGATGACCAGTGTTCGGGCAGACATTATTGATGAAGGATCTGTGCCTGGACTTGCTGTGGCGTGGGGAAAACCTTTGGGAATGCCGTTAGCTGAGAAAGAAAATGGAATTGAGACTTCAACGGTGTCACTGCGACCAAAGAAAGAGAACGCACCGACAATAAGCATGGTGTCGTTCCTACCACCGTTGCGCCGAGTTGTTCAGATAGCGTGCGGTTACCAATACACCGCTCTTGTTACAGATGACCGGCACTTGTACACGTTTGGGCACGGCAAATGTGGTCGTTTGGGCCATGGCACAGAAGAAGCCTGTACGGAGCCGAGAGTCGTGGGATATTTTGCCAGTTTGATTGCGGCTGAGGGTGTTGATGTTGGTGGAATTCTTGATGTATCATGCGGTCGTAAACACACAATGGTAGTGACTGCAAGCGGCGACTTGTACGGCTTTGGATCGAGCAAAGCTGGTCGTCTTGGCACATGCAAAACTGGTAGCAGTTTGTACCCTTCTCGAGTAATGGACCTGCAAAACGTTGCAGCTGTGGCTTGCGGTCGTAAGCACACACTAGCTTTGACGAGAAAGGGTCGGGTATTTTCTTTTGGCGCTGGCCTAGGTGGACGTCTTGGAAATGGCTCAGAGATAGACGAAGGGCAGCCATTTGCCGTTAGTGGGATGGAAGGCTACAGGATTACGGCGATCGATGCAGGAGAATGTCATTCATGTGCACTTAGTAACGAGGGCGATGTCTTTACATGGGGCTTGGGCAGCTCTGGTGCACTAGGCCATGGCAATCGAGACAATTGTTTAAAGCCGCGACAACTGGAATGTCTATGGACTAGAAGTCCCCGCGTCAAGTGTGATGGAGACAATCTAACACGTGCGGAGTCCGTTGTTGCGTTTATTGCGTGTGGAAGCTATCACACGCTGGCAGCTACTAGTGACGGGGAGCTTTATGGCTGGGGTGATGCTACTGCCGGACAACTAGGAGATGAGTATGTCTCGATACCAGATATGGTTGTGCTCATTCCAAAGAGAATTAGCGTGCCCACGAGCTCAGGGATTCGCAGCATTGCGTGCGGAACCTTTACTTCAGCTGTGTGTACGAAGGAAGGCCAACTTTTCTTGTGGGGGTCACCAGCTGCAGGAAATGGTGATCCATTAGAAATTGAAGACGCGCGCGTCAAGCAAATTGAGGCGTTGAGTGAATTCAAGTTTTCTCAGATTGCATGTGGTATGCTCTTTGGTGAATATTCATGCACGGAACAAGATTACTACTGACAATGTGTTTGATGATGCTACAGGAGAAAATCACGCCGTAGCCATCACTCGGAAGCTCGCATACTACTGAGTGCGCCGTGGTTTGGAATTGGTTGCCAAGTCGATTAAACTTATCGTGCATACTCGCTACGTGACTTATAGGAATTGAGCAGCATTGGGCTTAACCGTTTCTTTGGTGTTGTGCTCTGGAGGGATAGACCGGATGAAAGTTTGATACGTCCAAGGATAGTCCTGTCCCGGTGCCTCGTTTCTCAATGAAAGCTTTTCTTCGACAGAAAACAGAAAGCAGAGATTAGCACAAACGTGTCATTGAAAGCTCTTGAAACCTTTACACTACTTCGAAGCTATCAAGAAAAGGACAGAACAATTAGCTGTCGTGGTCCCACAGCTATTAAGTTACCAGCCGAGAACGCGGAGTGTTCGTCGACTCAAGAATCATGAGACGACACGGTATCTGAAAAAAGTCCGATAACAACCGACTGGTTGCATTGAAATTGGTTCATATCTCTACAGGGAATTGTTCAAGCCTCTTCTTGTGGATCCGAAGATTATTTTATACAAGCTTGGTTCGGGTTCGTGTTATATTGCTTTTGTTGACATCGTTTTAACAAGCGTGAAGTGCTTGCTTGGCAGATGAACACGGGTGGTTATTCATGAAGCAAGATGGATGCGCCTTATGAAAATTATGCGAGGGGATTCCCTTAAACGCACGTATACTGTTGCAGCGAAATTGAGTTCATACTCTCGATAGGGGTTGACATCGTAGCCTGAAGTTTGCCGTTTTGAAGTATATATTTTTGCCCATCTACTTCTGCGCGGGTCTTACCCATGAGGACGCTCGCTACGGCAAAACCTGTCGGATTGATAGCCGCACTTTTATCGGTTGATCTGCCATGTTTCACGATCATGAAATCGAATGCGGAAGTGGAAGTGAAGCGAACAACCTGCGTTTGTCAGTACATTGTATAATTGTCTTCGTAAAGCACATCGAGAGCTAGCGAGAAAGAGTCGGAACTAAAGCATCGATCAGTTGCAGAGTCTACTAACACGACAAAAGCGCAGAACCCACCACCAATCTGTAGTGAGGTGCAATAGATAGCTGTGCAGATCTAGTTCTTGGTGAAGATCTGGATGTTTTTAACGGTGAAGGAGGCGCTCGCGTCGCCTTTTGTCTGCTCCTCGAGAATGAGACGAAAGCTCTCGAAAAAGGGGAAGCCCGACGCGGCATCATGGCCACCAGCTTTGGCGCACGAGTCCGTGGCGTCCACACCCCAGAAGAGCTGGGCGTTGTTGTAGATTTTAGACGTGACGCCACCGCTGCCAGTGGTGACATCGTACGTTTCCGCTCCGTTGAGCATACCGCCCTTGGTAATGGTCGGTTTCTGGATGAGCTGAATATACTTTCCTGTGCTGTCCGAGCCCCACACTGCTGCGATCGAGTTGGACAGGTCGTTCGAGAGTTGGGCTGCACAGCCAGACGTCATGGGCTGGGTGTTGTCGTACCACAAGTTCTTGGAAGGACTGGCAGGGCAAAAGCAAGGCTTGCCATTTTCAGTAGCAGGACCCATATGCATCGTCATTTGGCCGTAGCTCAATACATCCGAGAAGCCGCCGAAGCCGCTGTAGTCGTACGCAGGGGTATTAATGGCGTCCTGCTTAAACATCTCGAACAAATCGATCTCGCCCCAGTACGGCCAGCCATTACCCTTGCCAAAATGGGATTGTAGCTTTGTATTCAGCATCCAAATATTGGTGTCACTTGTGCTCGTGCGTTCCCACTCAATGAACACGACCTTCTCACCACTCCATCCCTCTTTCGTACGGATAGGCTCCTCACTGTTCTCAGGTGTCAATTTGATACCGCTGGGAGTGACCATATCGGACGACACGGTTTCTCCATTAACATACTCCCATTTGGATGCATCGGTCCAGACAAAGTCTACGAGACGATAAGTAAGAATGTGACCCGAAGAATTCTGCAAAGGAATTTCAGATTGAGTCAACGTGGTAGAAGAAATTTTACTCGATGAAGCTACAACAACAGAAACTTGTCAGCAATTGAGCTTTCTAGTCCATTATCACGACCAACTTACTTGACAACGAGCTCTGAACAACAGGTACAATGTTCTTTACGTCGATAGAAGAATCCGATTCAGCACGATCGGCATCTGAGACGGCATCCCTCTCAACCTGAACAACACCTGCATCTAAGTCATACTGACCAATTGACGTTGCGTCGTTTAAGGAGGACACTAAAAGGTCGTTTGAGGAGGACACTACAGCGTCGTCTGAGGGGGACACTGAAGGGTCGTTTGAGGAGGACACTAAAGGGTCCTTCTGAAACCGTTACATCAAGTATATCAGTCATAATAAAATTTCATCTCGAGAAATCTCGAATGATTCATGCCCTACCTGTGCCGATTCCGTATTTGCGATCGAGCTGGAGCTTGAACTTACACCAACGGTAACGCCAACAAGTACTACAGCCAAAAGAATTAGACCGGCGTAAATTGGTTTTTTACGACGCTGGAGCTTGGTTCGAAGCGACTCTTTATCATCTTTTTCATCATAACTTTTGGGGACTGTATGCTGCTGTTTGTTAATGTTACGTGTTGTGTTTGCGTTTGCGTACTCGTTCAAGACGTTTACCATTTTTACACGATTCTCCAGAGACTTTTACGGTTTGATTTGGTTTAGTATCAAGAAAAATAAAGTGTTGTTGTTTTTTGTGTCCTACTACTATGAAATAAGGTTCCAATAAGGTGATCCATTGCATGAATGCAATTTCATAAGAGATATGTAGCATCTTGTTTAGACAACGGATGGACCAGTCTGCGTGATGTCTGATGTGCATCAAGTGGTGATGGACCGAGACATACTTAAATCAAGATGTTTCGATTCAACACGACTGATTTAATATAATCTGTTTATTAGGAATTGCGATCACAATGCCAAGTTATAGTAAAAAGTACAATGTCTTACTACTCTTGAGGTCAGAACCGCATACTCATTAACAAAATAGGCGCACAGAAGATGGAAAACGTCAACTCTTCAGCCAACTTCAGTCATTTGACTGCAGTACCTCTTACCATGAGTCGGATGGATGTGTCTCAATAGTAAACAAGTTGAGGATAAAAACATTGTAGAAAAAATTAGACTAGACCAGATCCTGCACTCCGACGGACATAGCCATTTAAGCGACATCTATACAGTATAGAGTTGATGCAGCTGTTGCTTGATGGGATATATGAGAGAGTCCCAAACCGTCTATTATATACTACAAAAATGTGGTAACTCGTCTCATCTACGACAAGGTTTTCTTACGCCTTACTTTCTCGTTCGGTTGACTCAAGACTTCGGGCTTCACGGTGGCGTCCTCCGACAAGAGCTCGTGGATCAGCCCGTTGACCGTGTCCAGGGTTAGACTCTTGTGCGCACTTTGACTCGGTATGGCTGGGCTGCTCTCGAAGCAATCTGATGCAAAAGACGCTTGACTACGAGTCTTGTATCCACTGCGGTAGTCTCAGCGAGCCATCACGACGTAATCCCTGGTCCTTCACCTCGTAATCATCTTGCTCTGCTCTTCCGGTCAGATCTCGGATTCCAACGTGCTCCAAATTTGCACCAGCCGCACCACTGGACGAAGAGTATCAAGTTTAATGCTACGCACACTAAGAACCGGTACTAGATCTCAACGGGGTCATCAGGAGTTTTCTTCGTAGGACCAAACTCAAGCGTTGTCGCCTTTGGCTGCCGATTGGAAAGTGTTGCTTGATGATGATGAGTATATTGAAAACTTGATGAATGAAGATATTAGCTCCTGTCAAGACTTCAACGATGTCGACGTCGACGTCGACGTAAAGTGGGACTCTCAGAGCTTTCGTGGATGCGTGTAACAACAGTATCCTGTGGCCGTATAAATTTTACAATGTCACTCTCCTCGTTGCATCGCTCATGTCGTCGGAATATGCTACTACGACGTTCTTTAACCTGAGCACCGTTTTCGCTGCCAATAGACTGTCGATGGAAAATGCTACTACGGCGTTCCGTAACCAAGAGTCGTCGTCGCTGCAAAGACTGTCGTTTATCCCGTCGATGAAAAATGCTACTGCGGCGTTCGGTAACCACAACATCATTGTTGCTGTCAAGTGACTGTCGATGGAAAATGCTACTTCGGCGTTCTGTAACTGGTACCATCATCGTTGCTGCCAAGCGACTGTTGTTTATGCCGTCGATGGAATAGATGGGGCATGTTGGACACTTTTGAAGCTTGGAATTGACTTGGAAAAGTTGGAAATGAGCTCAAGTAGAGCTTAAATCGAGCTCGACGGCATAATCAACCACCTGGCGCCATGTACGTAACCACCGGTGCATAGTTGAGGCGAATTGATTATGTAATATAGCGCCCTTTACATGATCGGCTTATAAAGGTACTAACTTAATACAATGCGCACGTTCTACTTATAGTAAGCTAATATAGTCCGTATACCGATTAGTCTTCATAAGACTCGACTCAAAAAGCAGCGTTAAAAGTGACTTTGACCCGCAGCCTTTTCTATCTGTCATATCGCATATGCATTTGGTTGCGACATTTGTTTACGTATGTTTGGTAGAGCGACTCGTGGTTGACCTCGAGTTTAGAGAAAATGTGAAAATTTTGCGTTGTTACTGTCTTTCCTGATGATGATCGAGCTTCGAGGTTTTTAACCAAACAAATACTATTGCATATCGTTTTCATACCAGTCATACACAACAATATTTAGAGAACAGCACAAATCACTTCGTGATTGCAACTGGTATATATACTACAGCTTTACGCAAGCTAGATAGAACGCTTGCGAGTCGTTAAACGACCATAACCTATGCCTCCAGCGGCACAAAAAGTTTTCCAGCCATTGACTTGAGGTCGCTGAGTGAAGTCTTTACGTTAGACTGGAGCGATCGAGCTGGCTGCGTTTTTTTCGATCGATCCCCATGGCCGTTCCACAACTTGGTGAGCCATTCTTCCAACGATGTAAAGTCAAAAACCCTTTCCATCTGCTCACGTTTCTCCTTTGACACATTCAGACACTGAAGATCTGAAACCACTTCCCAGTCTCCCCCTCCACTTGTCGTCGTTGCATCCGACACCAGTAGCCAATTCGCTTCAATGTCCTCCTTCGTGCTCTGTTTGCAGCATAATTGCAAACATTCTGGGATCTTCACTACAACACCTCGAGCCTTTAAATCTGCATAGTACGCGTCCCATTTTTCCGTTGAAAAGTCGAAACACTCTGCAAATGTTTTCAACTTGCTGTATGAATTCCAAGCCACCGATACTCGACCAGACATGACCATCCCCGCGATCTCCGTTGCCGTCGCCTCTCCCGAATACATGTACAAAAAGTCTGCTAGACTTACGTACACCACTGCTACTTTGGGCAAAAAAGGGTCTTGCGGGTGCAGCGTCGTGTTGTCCACCTTTAAACCTATAGTAAACATTTCGGCAAGTTACCAAATGGTTAGGGGCTCTTATGTTGCACTAGTCTAAAATGGGTTTTTTACCACAAAAAATGGGTACTTTTCAATGAAAAATGGGCACTAACCTTGACGCATATCAATCGTACGCATGCAAACAAACTTGTTTTTCTCTTCTAAAGAGGCTCGGAACATGAAAGTGACCTTTCACAACAAGACAAGCGCACAAAAAATACTTTTGAGTGGAGTAAAAGTTTGTGAAAATGGAAGTAAATACGACGTACGACTCCGTGAAATTCAGCAGTAGGCAATTTAGCAAAGCTAAGAAAGTCCATGAGTTCGTTCAGTTTGGCCAACAGACCTTCGCATACGACGGTCATACCTTGACGATAAAAGAAGAAGAATGGGCTGTCTGACATTTGTGCATTGCTTCTGATTGGCTCGTATTAAACCTGAGACGGAGTTTTATACGAAGTGTCAGATGAAACCTCTTATAAAATGGTCACATCAAACAGATTTATTAATAGGTTGTTGTTACCTTACTAGTAAATAATAAGCCTAAAAGCACAAAATTACGGATACGGTAAAAGATGGGAGCCACGCTTTCTGCTAAGGTTGATGGGATTACTTGAGTCTACAATTAAAATATGTTTTATTATCAGTTGAAGGACTAGTGATGATACCTAAGATATGTAACATCCCACGTCTCCACCACCATTTGATAGTAGAGATTACTTTTATTCAATGTAGCCTCAAAGTTAGCATTGTAGGCTGGTAGGCTATATCACTGATACTTTTTACGAATCTCCTGGCAATTGGTTAGATGTGGATTTTAAGAGCTCGCTTGAACGGCTTGTAGGAATTGACTTACGAATAAGGTTATCAAAAGATAAATGATACTAGAAAGTAGGCCACATAAGACAGTAGTAACATCTTGACCCGAGGAAATATACAAGTTCTCTAATGCAGTCCAAAATATCGGTGCTAGCTATAGTTGCATGCAGTGCAACGCATTGTCGAGTCCCGAGCGCCATTCTAGACGTTTCTCCGCATCAATATAATGGTTTCTTGACCGGAACACGTGGCAACGCATTATACGGGAGTTTTGCGCTGGCCATGTCGAAAAAAACTAGCGCGCAGGCATGTGCATATAAACAACCACGCAGCTGATTCTTCGCTGCAAAACATCGGGATTGATGTCTTGCAAGCGGGGTCAAGCTTTGAATATTAATACAAACTGTTTTTGTAATCTGAATAACGGTTCCACAAGGTTCAGGCTGAGGGTGGTGGCAGTCACTGTTCGCAGTGTATACTCGGCGAGGAGATTATCGGTGGCCATCTCTGGTTTCATTTGCCGGAAGGATGTCAGCACCGTGATATTCAGCATTTAGGATCAGTATTCCCTTATAACATTAGAAGAGAAGATATACAAGATGTTTGCCGTCATCTGACGACCGACACTTTTAAGCGAACAAGGAACGGAAGCGGCTCCCTCCCGTCTGCGATCACACACCGCCGTGGTTACAAAGTGTATGTTATATCGAAAAATGTTTGAGCATTTGCTACCGCAAATGTGATTGACTTGAAATCAAGCACAAAAGGTGTTTGGGTTATTGACAACGGATCTTTCACTTAATGGAGGAAGTTGTCTACGCATTGGCCTTGAGCGTGTTATTCATGATGTCTCGCAAGTGACTTTTCTCGAAAGCTACGTTTTTAGGAGCATTGGGCCTCGACTCTTGTATCAAATTTTATACAGCTGGTGCCGGGGAACTCCTTGAACGAACTATGGTGTTTACGAGAAGATGCATTGTGCCTTGCTTTCGTTTATCATCAGTATAGTATTCTATTGTAACTTAGTCCTCGACCGTGCGAAGTGGATGAAACAAGAGACTTCTTGTCCGACGTCAGGACATGGCATGTCTTAGCAGTGGATAGAGTTGACCCGTAACATGGCTGCGTGGGTGGTGCTCCATCAATTGCGTTGCACCAATTTTCTGTCGGAGTGCATAACGGGCTATCTCATCAAGCCACGCTTCGTCGTCTTGGTTTGGTGAATTATGAGAGACTTCCAAATCGAATGGATCGTGGGTAGTACAAATAGCTCTGGGAGCGGGATTGTCTTGAGGATCTATGTCTGCCCACTCTGATGGTCTAGACCAAGATTCGCTGATGTCAATGTAACTCGAGTGTTTGTTGCTGTTGTCACTTTCGTCAATATCATCGCTTTCATAGGCGGCGAGATCGTCGTCACTGGTGCTTCGGGGAACATTATTGGGTGCAAGAACAGTGCTGGTACTTGGTGGTAAGGAAAATGAGTCCTGACTTTCCCATGTCCGCCAGCTCGCAAGGATGTCAATTTCGGTAGGAGACGAAGGGCCTCTAGCTTCAAGCATGGGCATATCGTCAATCGAGGTGTCCTCACGCTCTACTTCCGCCACGGTTTCTACTAGCGCCGCTAACTGCTTGGAACGCGTTGCGTTGCGTCGTGCAGGCAGTACTGGTGCAATTGTCACCTGGCGCGCACGCGCGTCAACGATGGGGATAGCCAAAAAGTTTGGCAAGGCAAACGCATTTTCAAGCGCCGCCCACCACGTCTCAAAGATAACGCTGGTCGGAGCACGTAGCGTTACACTTTGGCGCCACCGTCCGTAGCGAATTTGGAGCTGACGGAGGCGTACCTCTTTCCCTGATATGGAAGTGAGACTACTTGCTCCATGTCGGAGACGTATCTCCAACTTGCCACCGAAGGCTGTGGATCGAAAGATAGTCAGCAGTCCCTGATCAGGCCTATGCTCGGTGATGAACTTGAGCGAGACGATAGCCTTGTGCCTGAACCCATTATGGCCGAAGGAGTGAGAGGAATTCACGTGACAATTGGGATATAATGGTTGCCATGGATAGCAAACAATAAGAAATGTAGCCTTACCAGAAAAGCCCGCAAGTCCGCATCTTCATGGTACAACGAAGCGTTTGTAGAGAATTCATGGATACGTTCGTTAGGCTAGTGATGTTTCACGGTGGCCTCTACTTCAATGGAGCAGTAAAAGAATTGGAGAAGACTAGGCCTCTGGACGGCTGCGGTCGCACTATATTACAGTCAACTACATGCTAGCTACATTGTATAGGTTTGAACTTCAGTTAAGGTTTGTGCTCTAGTTATGAGGGCTGACATCGATGTAAATAAGAAGCAAATACCGGTCAGCGAGATCGATTTAAGAACGCTAGAGCTCGTCTTGCCAACAAAAAGATTCAATTGACAAGATCGTAGACATCCCTTCTGCTTGGCCTTGGTAAAGCCATGAACGGATACTCAGACATATATATGTCGTTTATTTGAACGCAACGATTGATACAACGCAGACCTAAAAATAGTAAGAAGATGTTTCGTCCGTCTCGACGACGAATGGAGGCGGATCTAACAACGTTTATTACAACTTCTGCAACAGAGATCGCACCTTGGGTACTATTTTACGAGCCATGACACTGCCATGGTAGAGTGTCGAATTTATCTGCTCACCAGAAATGACTTGGTACGTTCGGGATGGCGTTCCACTAATCGAACTATCTAGTGACAAGTTTGAGCCTTAATTAACTTAGGAGGCTACTCCGGCATTATTCACGTCGTATTATGGCATCTTGCACCGTTCTAGTCGTTTATGAGCTTACATTGTTGATCGTCTTTTTAATAGCACAATCGACCTGCACCCGCTTCAATAAATTGTCGACTGTAGTGTCCATGTGCTCTGATGGCTTTTACATTCAGAATAACAAAGCGGTGGTGTAATGTAGATAGCGCGTTCAACATCTTGGTAATCGGAGCCTCCGCTTGCTGTAAGGGTATCGTCTAAGCGCGAGTACTATCCTTTCACCTCGCTGTTGAAGGACGAACAGGGAGCAGCTGAGGCTTAAGTGATTACCGTCACCAGCGAGATGGCATGGTAAGGCGTTATATTATTATCAATCGGAAGTCAACCTTGGCACTTCATGCCCGCCTTGAATTTTCTGAGTCCAAAATTTGAGTGAAACACGTTACATGTACTACCGGTGTTACAATGAAACCACTCTTATCACTGAATGCAAAGCTTGTACTGTCCTATCTTACCTCGTTACAGTCAAATTGGCATTATAAATACCTCGACAAATACCGTCGATTTGGATGTCGGCATCTCCCTAACATGTTCAGCATATATTCCGCAAAAGAGACCCAAGATCAAGAACGGTCTTCTGTAGTGGCAATTGTCCAGGCTACAGCTACAAGAACATCAAGCGGCGCTTCAGAGATCTACACGGTGCTGTTTGAGGATTTTCCATTCTTCTTGCCTCGGTGCAATCCACTCGCTGACTTCCGCTCTGATTTCCGATTGTGGAGCCAACTTCTTCCAGTTTTGGAAAGTGCCTATATGTATCAATTAGCTAAAGTCCTCTATATCTTAGAATGTCTACGCTGCCTACGCATAGAAGAAGCAATCTTGATTCTGACTCAGCCACCTCATCTCATGCTTAAAATTACAAGTGCATATTGCGACGTCGATGGAGACGATTCCTATTTCGCCCGCATCTCGTGGCGTGTACAGCAGGTCTGGATTGACTTTGTATCTGCTGCTGCCGGTAGACGTGGAGTGATGCCACAAAAAATTGTTTATGAATTCAGCCCGAGCCCGTTGCGGAAGCTGGAAGACCGCAGGTGTAAGTAATGTAGGAGGTGCTTTGGGGTGAATAAATAACGTTTTAAATAACGCATCCCTTGATAGAATTCAAACTCTCGGCGTATATCATGCACAGCCTGCCATACTCGAGGAAAGCTAAGTGGGAATTCGAGCTTTTCGTTATCACAGAATAAACTGAAAAATAACGAAATGCTAGGATTATTGAGAACGATTTGGTTGTCATAGCTGTACTTGCATACGTTGCAAGCATTGGTAATGCATCAATCACCTTCGTTTCTAAGAAATCTTTTATAATTGCATTGTGACAAATCACTTTCTGGTTTGCAGCTAAGTACGCAGACGAATTAGAGAAGGGGTGTCTTTTTCTCCCATGAACACTGACGACGGCGGTGTGCCGCTGGGCGATGCTCCCTCACCACCTGGAAGCCCAGATTCAAATGTGCAGTAGAAACACGTGCCAAGTCCTGGGCGACCGGCGGCTGGTCGGGTTTCGTTCGCGTCTGCGGTCAACGGCTTCGGCCACCGCATCGACTGTAAAGGGCTCAACGTTACACGTACCCGTTAAGTATGCGATACTTAAAGGGCAGATATAAAAGAAACGTAAGTTCTTAAGACCTGTCGCTCGGATGAGACACACCATGTGTCACACTCTTGCGTATGTGATATACACTAGGTGTATTCACATTGATGAGGATGACGCCCAGCTGGGACTAGGCGTCATCAAATGACGTCAGTGAGCAACGTCATTGAGCGAGATTATATATATATAAGCTCGCACGTTGGGATGCGCATCTATAGGGATAGCACCCATCATTACATATTAACCAATCAGTAGGTATATTTATATTTTGTTGAATCTTATTAAATATAAACCAGTCTTGAGTTTACAAACTACCGCCCACTGCGCACGAGAAGCTTGATAAGCTTCTGCGTGACGTAAGTGAGGTACTCTTTAGTTGTTCGTTTTGCGGACCGCTCTAAGCGGCAGGCAACAATTTGGTTCGGCGCTTTAAGCGACCGTCAAACGCAACCACCACCGCACGCGGAGGTAAGACAGTATAACCGCTTCCTCGCGCTGCTTGAAGGTGTGCCCGCTTAGTACGTGGCAGCTTCTTTATGAAGCGCCCCTCTACAGCAACTATTTTCAGGCCAAAAAATGTCATCAACTATCTTCCCGAGCTCTGTAAATCATCATCCCACGTATGTCGCCTTATCGATAAATACTTGGTCGACTCTATACACCCTCAAATTCTTCAAGACGTGTATGGAGCACCAAGTGACGACCTAGAATTTATTCTAAAGAGGACAGCTCCAAAGTGGAATAATGTAGTTGAAGCAGCAGCTAGAGGCGGATATCTTACACGTGTTTAAGTGGATGTTAAACCGGCAAGACGGCCGTTGTCTGTGGGGGAGTAATCTTAAATGTGCTCTTGCAGGGGCTGCTGCACATGGTCATCTCGAACTGTTAAAGTGGCTACATAGTCGAGGTATTGGCAATATTGACAACAAGGTGTTTGATTGAGCTGCTAGTAAAGGACACCTTTTGATCTTGCAATGGTTGCATAAACGTACCGAGATTACCCGAATTAATGATATACTAAGTGGTGCCGCTAAAAATGGCCACCTAGAAGTTGTACAGTGATTATACACTGAGAACCTTTGTAGGGAACAGACGGCATCAGCAATGGCTTCAGCCGCAATAACTAGACATCTAAAAATACTGCAATGGCTACACCAAAAGTTTGTTGCGGTAGTGTGTGCACCACTAGTGTCATGGATGCAGCAGTCAATGGTGGTCACAGTGATGTCGTCAAGTGGTTGTTGGCAAATTGCGATGTGGGCTGCTCCTGTAACAGGGCATCTAGTTACACGCAAACATTAAGTAATATACTTAATGTTTGGTCTAAAAGTATCCATGATTACTTTTGACCTGTCACTTGGGTGCGATACACAAACGTGATCCACCCTCGTGAATGTGATATCCATTGATGGATTCACATGGGAAGGGATGACGCCAGTTGAAGCTAGGCATCGCGACGTCTCAGAAGGACGTCAGTCGCAAGCTTAAATCTAGATTTAAGCTCATGCGACAGGATACGCTTCTAAAGAGTCGCGTATCCGATCTATATACATATATAGCCAATCAGTAGTTAAGTATATATTTAGTTATAATTAATTATAATATAGCTCAATCTTGAATTTGCTAAACACCGAAGCACCACGCACGAGAAGCTGAGCGGCTTGGAGAAGAAAAACGAAGCAAAGAACACTTGTTCACTTGAGGGAGAATTCGAAAGTGATTGATTATTGGGGCTTACTTGCCAACTACATGATTTATATGTGAACCACATATAAATCATGTAGGGCGTCTCATCATCCTACGCGTCTAATCAACTCTAAGTAATTATCGTAAAAACTACGTCGTAAATACTAAGCTGAACAGGCGGTTCGGATTGGACCGGTCACGGTTACCCAACCTTGGTGGAACCGATGACCGTCAACATGTTGGTGGTCACCATCTTGCGAAGCACGTCAACTGGAGCGTGACCCATTCGCGCATGTAAGTCACCCACAACTGTTTCTAATTGCTGCCACATTAGCCGATCGCTGAGCCGTGCAAAGCCAGTAGAGACCATCCACGAGATCCGCTGTCGCCACCACTTGCTGCGAGTCCTTATGCGCAATATGCATTCTTGTTCCATCAAATACCACTTGAAACTTGCCATGTTTGTTGATCAGCGGCACCGATAGCAGATTCTTGCTCATACTGGGTACGTACAGTGCGTTCTTGATCTCGATCTCGCGCTTGTCGCCATTGGGCAGAATTACCTTCTCAATGATAGTTCCCACACCCTTGATGTCCACCTTGTTGCCATTAGCCCATTATTGCCATTTTCCCCATTATTACGTTCAACCAAACTGGAGAACTTCGACTTGTCATGGCAGATATGATGAGTTGCACCACTGTCGACGGCCCACCTTCCAGACACATCCTTGTTTGTAGATACCACACTCCAGCGAAATAGCAAACGCTACTCGATCGTAGCCGTTGTCTTCATTATGCTGTCACCACTGGATGTTAGCTCCGCGTCCACGGCCATTGCCGCCGCGTCGAGATCCACGACTTCCATTTTTCTGTTTCGTCCAACAGCGATCCACCGTGTGCCCAACCTTGCCACAATACGTGCATTGGTAGGACTCACGCTCGGTACTGAATGTCTTGGTTGCATCTTCAGTCTTCACCGTAGTCGCTGTTGTCGTCACCTTTTCCCCTTGACGCTTGGCGTG